CACCCAGCACTTCCACCAGAAATGTAGCGATGTTGAAGGACTCAAGGGGGGGAGGGGGGTATAATAAAACGTACTTATAAAAAGGCGAACCTGTGCCCGCAACTCAATGTGACTGTGGTCGTAGAACTACGCATCAGTCGAACACTAAAAATATCCTTCAGCTGCCTTCTTCTTCCTCTCCACAAGAAGTCTCAAGCGCATGGCGCACATCAGCCGGGTCCAGCTGGGTACTTGTGCCATCATCGTCTCTGCGCGACACAAGACGGCACGCGCATGTGTGTTTCTGTGCGCGTGGTGATGGGCGCGTTATTTGAATGCAGGCAAGATGTTGCGGCAAAATACACATGCATTTATTTGTATTGCCTTTTCAGAAGCTGGATAGCAATTGATTTCTTTCAGATTCTGTTAGTATTACTGCTTGTTATGTTTCTTTTTTTCCATGTTCTGATGTTTTTGTATTTCTACTTTTGCTTGGGCCATGTGGCCTACAGTATTTCTGTAAAAAAAATAAACTTCTTATTGTAGACAACTCCTCCTCTAACTCCCGCTATAAAAGTTAAAAGAACCACTGGCGGTAAGACGCGGCAGGCACGCTTTGGCTCCCGTATCTTGCCTCTGGCAAGTTGGCCAGCACGCACGCGGCGCGGCTTCATGGCGCTCTATTGCTATGTATAGGCGGTCTTCACTCCAGAAAAACTTATTTAAACCTCCTCAGGCATCACACGTGTTTAGCCAGGGGAGAGGTTGAGCCCCTTCCTAAAATTTTTGCAATTTTTCTTACATATATATACACGGGTGCATACAAACCACACACAAAGCTTTTTGTCTATGCTATGGCACCATAAGAAAGATATTACACGTCCCATTGCAGAAAATGAGAAAAAAGACGCACACGATTATATGTGCATCAGAATGCCGTTTACACCATCATTTTATACCAAACAGGATTTACCGCGTAAAACACTGGCAATCTGTTATGGTGTGCTCGTAGTGCCAGTCAAAAATGTGGATTCCTAAAGCATGTTTCTTTGTAACCCCATATCTGCATTTACTGTTGTGTTTGCAGCACAGCGTGATGACAATATTATTGCTGTGGTTTAACGTCCCAAACCTACAATATAATTATGACGGATACCGTAGTGCTGTGTAGACTCCAAAATTTCTACAAGCCAGGTTTTATTCTTTAATGTGCACCTTAAATCTGAGCGCAAGGGCCTCAAGAATTTCTGAATTCATCGAATAATCGCTGGTCAAGCCTTAAAAAAACAGTTATGATAGCGTTGCGTGTGCCTTTCCACTGCCGAGTGAATGAATGCCGAGAAAGCCAGGCTGTCCCCGCATGGACCTTTACACTCTCACCGCTTTTTACAAGTGTAAGAATTAGCACGAGCGATGAAACGAGTTGGCTCGCAACACCCTCACGTGGAGCGCAACAGTCAACGCTCTATAGAAACAGCTCCGTTGTACTCGCAGTGACTGCAATCATTATATGATCATCATGAAGTCACAGAACCTTCGATTGACATGAGCATTGGATGCACTTTTTGAAAGTTCAGTCCGTGTCAGCAGCAAGTTAATTTTTTATCCCCTTTTCTTTCTTCACATTTACATCACATGCAATCATTTCTGATAACACTTTCCTATAGGATAGGCATCATCGTATGTTATTATGGAGCAAGAAAGACAGGAGGGGAAACTCTGGGCTGGCGCCAGCATGAGCGGGCGCCGCGATCTTTGCAACAACGCCCGAGTGTCGTCTGCTACATCTGCCACTCGCCGATTGCGCTATGGTACTGAATGCAACTATGAAAGTTTTTGGCAAGCAAAGCATGCCAGAACAAAATGAAGCAAATAGAGCGTCTTAGTGGCAGCATTTTTATTTATATATGTTTGATCAGATACTGTCCAGATAATGAAAGTAAGTGGTAGAAATTAAAAAAGCAGACGATCTGCAACTGTAGCTAGGCACATGCCTAAATTAACTGACTGATGTAGCTTGAGGATAAAGTCTGAGGTATAGCCCATCCTGGACGGGACAGAGAAGACACATAACACATACACAGCCTTCTTTTCTGTCTTCTTCTCTGTCCCATCCTGAATGCACTATACTTCAGACACTATGGAAAACCAACAAGCCCACCGTGCAACCTTAGTTGAGGATAGATTTTGCGCGTTCGTTGATATAACAGCGCCATACACAACATCTGTGCACAAAAGAAATACAGACATTGATGAAGCAAGTTGAAGCAGATGACAATAGATTCAACAAAAGAGCAGAAACTGCCAGAAGTACATAAAAAGGATAGAAAGGCAGCTGCAAAATTTTGGAACCATCTAAGTTCCCTACATATAGAGACAAGCCAAGAACGGAAGTTTATAATTACAGCTCAAGGTGTTAGGCTAGAAGGGGACGAACCTATTGAATATATACGAACAAAGATGACAGGAAAAAATCAACAAGGAAGTGCCTTATGCACCCTAACAGACAAGGATGCGTCACGTGGCGCAGTGGCTCCATTTTCACGAGAGTGAGAAAAGGCTGAGAAGAGGGTTCCTAGTAGTACATCAACAGGTGCTGACGGCATCCCAATTATGCTGATAAAGGAATTGGGTCCCAAGTCTAAGCAAACTTTGAGAGAGGCAGCGAGCAAAACAGTTATTGATGGTCAAGTCCCCGATGTATGGAAACTTAGCAGAATGAGCATGATCTATAAAGGAAAGGAAGACAAAGCTGACATAAATAAATAGCATCCTATAACAGTGACATCAGTGGTTTACAGGCTGGTGATGCAGATAATAAAGGAAAGATTGCAGGCATGGATCGAGGATAAGGGAGTGCTGGAGGAACTGCAGAATGAGTTTCGGAAAAACAAAGGAGTTTGGAAGCCAATCTATTCTCACTGACGCAGTGCATCGAAATTGCAGAAAAGGAACACAGGGCCCTGTGGCTAGCATTTTTTGATATCAAGAGAATGTACGATAGCGCGGTTCAAGAGGACTTGTGGGGAATACTTGACACACTAGGTATGGAAGATGTCACTTAATCTTTTAAAGGATATTTATAAAGGTAACAAGGTAGTTATAAAATGGGAAAAACAGGTATCCAAGCCCACAGAGATAAAACAAGGGCAAAGGCAGGGGTGTCCTCTGTCGCCCTTGTTATTCAAGATGTACCTACAAGGATTAGAGGCCAAATCAGAGGGGAGTGGACTTGGCTTCAACCTTTTTTTCATCAAACAAGAAAAACTCATTGAACAGGCACTACAAGCTTTGATGTACGCAGATGATATAGTGCTAATGGCCGACAACAAAGAAGATTTAAAGGGACTGATAGACATCTGCGGTAATAAGGGAGATAGGTTAGATTTGAGATTTAGTAAGGGAAAACCAGCAGTCGTGATTTTTAATGATAATGAATTTAGTGAGCTTAGGATACAGGAGGTCACGCAAGAGATAACAAAGAAATACAAATATCTGGGTGTATGGATAAGCAATGAGACCGAATACCTAAGGGAACACAAAATATACATAATGACTAAAGGTAACAGGAATGCAGCAGTGATGAAAAATAGGGCACTGTGGAACTACAATAGATATGATGTTGTAAGAGGAATTTGGAAAGGGGTGATGGTTCCTGGTCCGACGTTCGGCAATGCGGTCATGTGCATGAGATCAGAAGTTCAAGCAAGATTAGAAATTTAGCAACGTGGAATAAGTAGGCTTTCAATAGGAGCTCACAGGAATACACCAAATCAGGGAGTACAAGGAGATATGGGATGAACATCATTCGAGGGCAGGGAAGCTAGTAGCAAGATAAAATTTGAGAAGCAATTGAAAGAAACGGGGAAGGAGCATTGGGCTAGGAAGGTTTTCAGCTATTTGTATATGAAAAATGTCAATACAAAATGTAGGAAGTAAACCGAAAAATTGACGGGTAAATACTTCGGAAAACAGTAGGGGTCCAAACTAAAAAGAACTATCGGTTAAGAAGAAAATGCAGGAATTAGAGACCGACATGTGGGGAATAGGCATGATTAGGAAGTCGGCATTGAAGATCTATCGAAGTTTAAGCAGGAAATCGTCAAGGAATAGATCTATATTATACTCGGGATAGTTCTCTACCGTTTGAGGCCAGAACGGGAGTATTGCGAACCAACAAATATCTGACCAAATACAAAGACACAGTATGCAGTGCGTGTGGAGAGGAGGAGGAAACTGCTGAACACTTGATAATGTTCTGTAAAGGGCTTCACCCTATAAATCAGGATGATAGCGCAGAGTTTTTCAAAGCACTGGCGTTTTGGGACAGGAAGGGCAAAATAAACTTTAAGCGGGTAGAAATAACTAGAAGGAGGTTATCTGATTGGTGGCTACGATCAAGGCCCGAGTGAAAATTAAATTCTTCACTGCAAATGCCTGTTCCTAACTATTCAAAGGAAAAAAAAAAAAGGTAAATTTAGTTTTGTTCGCTAAGTATTACGGCTAGGTGGCATTAGCCGCCACCCGATCTAAAGGGTACAGCCATATGAATCCATTCATCCATCCGCCGCTCCCCGGGGTGACAAGGAAGCCGAGTTTCCCCTCTTGTCTATTCTTCCTCCGTGGTTCCTATGCATTCTTTAGGTATCTTGTACCTGTGTCATGATATTTTCTGCAGGTAAGGTATTCGTATCTTGCAATGTGCCTTATGCGCTTATTCAATACAAGCAACCAAGCTAACAATGCATTTCACCTTACCTTCGCCGGCACATACGCCTATCTTCATAAAAACTATCCAACTCAGTTCACGTGCCTCACGCACTCTACTATGCATTGTCCTTTTAGATTCATAATAATAATTTACATTATTTACTTCATAAATTTAAAATTTGTGCTCATATAAAAATATGCGTGTTTCACTTTTTTTTGCATGTTCATGCTTTTTTTAGCGAAGTATCTGAGACTGCTACATGAATAAATAAATAAATAAATAAAAAGTTTGTCATGCAAGGTGCACTCGCCCTTTGCAGTGGAATGATGTCAGACTCCTTGAGTGGCTTGCTGTTGGTAGGGTCCACCCAGTCTTTCTTCAGCAGCTTTTCAACACACTCCATCGTGACAACGTTACCCCTGCCACAAGATAAATTAGGTAAGAGAACTGGACACGAAGTGATTGAAATGCTAGTGTCATCACTTATATGTGAAGCAAAGCTTCACATCTATACTTGGAAGCAAACAAGACACAAGCAGAGTTTGAGCAAAATCTCAGCCATATGGTTAATTAAGTATCATTCTCATGCTTACAGTTGCATTTACATCCCCATCCTTTTTATATAGTAATTCACATTGTTAGTTAATATTAAGCACATGCATGCCACATACAAAAGTGTGCTGCAGATGTGGTAGGAAAAAAAAACCTTATGGAAATGTTACGCACTTCGGGTGAGGCCCTGCCAATATAACAGTGCAGCAGACTCACAGGATTTCACTTAACGCTTAGGCCTGCGACGCCTGGAATTCTTTTAAGTGGTACATGTCATCTTTTTTTTGTAGGCCGGCCAATTTATCTGGTGTTGCGCGTGTATGATGTCTGCATCTGGCTAACGTACTGATCCAGTAGACACAAAATTTTGATCAGAAAGAAGCATTTAATTAAAACAAGGGCTATGGCAGAAACTAAAATAAATCAAATAAAAGGAGGAACATAAATACGTGCAATGAAAACAAGAATAAAGAGACAAACTATGCTCTAAATGAACACAACCAGGGTGCCTACCAATACGCTTTTCAAAATTTCCTTACTTTTCCAAGTTTTCCATGATGATTTAAAGCAAATTCCATGACCGCTACGTCTGCTTGGAAAAACTGTGCACTGGAAACAGGCCCTCGAACGGTTAAAAAATAAAAAATAAGAGGTGCTCCTATAAGATAAGTAAATAAATGTACAAGTGCTCAGAATATTCTGACTAAATGCGGTAAATATGAAAAAATATTTATATCTGGCCAAAATGAAACCTCCGAGCTAGAGAGTAAACAAGTTGGCTGTTTATTGTTTGAAAGAAGCAGAAAGCAAACACACAATTTAAAATTAACCGCAGCTAAAAGTTTAAAGAAGCCCACGACAGTCCCACAATGCAGCCAAAGCAGCTAGAAAACGTAGAAGTGGAACCATCTTGTGGCATCTGTGTAAAAAGAGGACGCCAGAGCTCGGCTGGTTCTTCCACTAGAATATATTCTAGTTTCCTATAATGGTTACAGCCCAGGCTGCTTAGATTGTGGATTGGATTAGATCGACCTGTATTTACTAACTTTACTGCTTAGGATGTAGGTTCAATTGGATGTGATGTAACACGAATTGCTATATTTAAAATTGATTTGCATTCTCACCTAAGTTGTACACCTGTAGTATATACGTTTTAGTGAAAAAAAGACACTACTATTCGCGTATTCTGTGCACCTTGCACTGAACAATGACTAACATCATCCCAAGAACGGAGCCGTACTATATAATTTTCCCTTTCATCTTTTCTTTGTTTTTACGAAGAGCAAATACATGTTGATGTTTTATTTTTCTGGACTTCAATGTTTAGAGTTTATCCTCAGATGCCTGCAATCAAAGCTGGAGATAGAATTTAAAGTGATGACGCTTGAATATGCACTGGCAAGAAGGAATCTGTCACGATGCAACAGCTCCCTCGATTCCATATATTCATCCAAGATGATGGCGGGTTACCTTCGTTTGTGTACTCTTCTATGGACATGACCCTAAAAAATAATTACAGATTAAATAATACCATCTCAAAAAACTGCAATTAGAAATTTCGATGAAGTTACCCAACTCTACCCTTGAAACGCGAGCTACCACCAATAAGTGCGTAGCTGCGAACATGTGCCAGTGCATCGCCAATAATAATAATGATAGTAATCATATTAATAAAAGGCATGACATAGCCCGGCAAAGCTCCGCTATTGGCAATCGAGTCAAACCAGAAGACCTTCAAGCGGAGCTGAACTCAGGATCTCGACAGACATGCAGAAATTTACCGACGTGTGTGATGCTGTGGTTGGAAAGGTAGATATGCTGTGTGATGTGTAGAAGCAACAGATATCAAAATAGCGCATGTACCAACATGGAAGCTAAGGAACGCTTCAGACAACATGAAGGACAAGTTTCCAAACGAAAATTTTCACTGTCATATTTTTTTTACTTTAAGCCGCCACAACTGTGACAACCAATACATCACTGAGACTACTGATTTCAGGGAAAGAATTAAACAACACGAATATGACATCAGGAAACTACGCGTGACCTCATATGTTCTCACTAAACACGTGCAATCTACAAGCGCTGAAACTGACTGGTCAAGTGCGTGTGTTCTCGCCAAAGCAAGCTTGCATCATGGCTGCACTACGAATACCAACACATGCAGACAATTGCACCTTAAGCTGAACAGGAGTGATGGGGCGCTTCCAACAATGTATTTTCGCTACTTACGCCTCGTACTTAGGTGTACTTAAATACTATGCTGTGCCTTTCTTATGGCTATTATTGTAAATAAGGCTCCCATAACGGGTGCCATGATGTTAGTAAACTTTGTAATCTTTTGATAGGTGTACCCTTTCGTGTCTTTATTAAGAAGCAATAGTTCCACAATGTTTTTTTTTTTTTCACATGTCTTTTAGCTGCTCATTGTAGTTGCAGTCGAAAGAGTCACTGTTTAAATTTGATCAATGGTAATGCTTATATTTGTGACGGTTGCGCAGACTGTTGTTAGTTTCCATGACCAGGCCAGATTTTTCAGAAATTCCCTGACTTTTCCAGAAGGGTCCGAATTCCCTGACTTTTCCAGGTTTTCTAGATTGGTAGACACCATGACAACAGGTACAAATGTACACAACGCGGTATGTTAATAAAATGACTGGAAGTGGAAACTAAAGAAAAGGCAAATAAGAATGACAAGAAGATTGCTTCCGAGTTTCTGCATGCAATGCAGCACACACTAAGGCAATATTTAAAGCTGGGTATAATAAAATAACGGTTGTAAAAATGTCACAATAAATAGTTTCACGAGGACCATGCTAGCTTGTGGTGTACATACAGGGGGTGCCGCTGATTGTTTCACGAGCTTCGGTAGACGACGAGGGCGCCCAACGTAGTAGACTGCGCACAACCTGTCGGCGTGCAATCATGGAGGTCTAGACTGGTAAAAGCTCAAATCGTTGAGCCCGTTCATGAGAGCTCTGGGATTATCAGCAACGTCTCATGAGTTTGGGAGGCTAGGCAGAGGTGATGATGATGTGTGGTGTTTTATGGTGCAGGGGCCGTATGATGGCCAAAGAGCACCAAGTCAAGAGATGTGAATAATGAGTAAGGTAGGTGGCTGTATGAGGGCCACGAAATTCCTCAGCCTAACATAGTAAAAACATTGCAGTATTAAAATCATGACAGTGACGTGAAATGTGTGTAGTCATAATGGATGGCGAATGAACGTGAGAATAGAGAGCATGGTGAAAATATATGACATTAGCACATGTGCATTGCCCCCAAGGGTCGCGAGGCAAGTGCTTTGTACAATATAGCCGCTGCAGCAGCGACTTCCCATGAGACGTCATGCTACAAAATGCCTGGACATATGACATGAGCACTATGCATGTCTCTTAAAGAAGTCAACAATAATTCATGTGTGAAAAGTGGCTCGCTACCAACGATCATTGTAGCCAGGGTGAAGTAGTATCTGTTGTCAGTAGGGCAATGGAAAGTGTTTTTTTAGCGTGCCTAGTTCTTTGCTATAAATTAAAATGTGAAGCACTGTTAGTGCTTTACCACATCTCCCACACATAAGTGGATCACCCCCGGACAGAAGGTGTGAATGTGTCATGCCTATGTGTCCTATCCTTAGCCTTGTTAGTGGAACTTTTATGTGGCGCAACTTCTATACTGGCAGCAAATGACCAACTAGCGGTTTAATAATGTGCAGTTTATTTTATGCTTGCTTATCCCATGTGCTCTGCCAATAAGCTCAGAGTTTTTGTATAAGAACAGGTTTTAACTCAAGTGCAGGGATAGCTATTGGTGTATTGGGAGCAGTTTCGTGAACGGATGCAGCTGGTCTGCCAATACGTTACCTTGTATCTTGTGGTTCCTTGGCACCCAGTACACAAGGACATGTTTCTCGAGTGCACATACCATGCACGAAAATGAGTAGAGCGAAACTAGGATGAGATTTTGTGTTCTTTCAGACTTTTGAGGGCTTTTACCGTGGAGTCGATGTAAATTAGTGCACTTTGTAGATTTATCTGTTTCACGGCCGCAAGTATCGTGTCGGCTTCTGCCTCTGAAGATGCTGGTGCAGAGTGCCAGCATTTTAAAAGGACGGACCAACTGCTGCATAGGACACTCAAGTGTGGGTCTTTGAAGCATCAGTAAAGAAGTTGGGACATGAGTATTTATGCTGGAGTTGACAGAAGTGTAAACGAATGTGTGCGATAGGCACTTGCTTAGTAACTTAGTAACAGTGGAAGCAGCCAAATGATGTTCAAGTGGCACACCCCTTTCTGCAGCTAGACCCCTCACACAAAGTGTGCAGGCCTGCCTTATGGCAGGGGGGTGGACAAATCACTGATAGTGTAGTGTGAGGGGTCTTTGTTGTTTGCGTCCATTTTGACGAAGTACAGAAAAGATAGGTAGGACCACTCGTTCGAGTCAACATACAGGCTTCCCACAGGGCTGGCGCGAAAAGCGCCCGTAGAAAGACAAATGACTGGGGGATAGACAGGATCAAGCATTTGTAGAGTACTTGGTGCTACAGACTGATAAATTATTGCTCCGTAGTCTAAGCGAGTGCGTATTAGGCTTTTATAAAGATTCATCAGACACTTCTTCTCACTGCTCCACGTAGTACGTGACAAAACTTTTAAAACATTCATTATTTTTATACATTTAATAGATGCGAAGCAGCTTTTTGACTAGCCTATATAATGCTGTCCCTCCGTACACCCCCACTGTGCATGCTCATGTCTCATGTCTCTTGCCGACCCAGACAGACAACCCCAAAGTTGTCGCTCTCCTCCCCCTCTTTCGTCTCGCAAGGCCGACGCAGGCAGCGTCTGCTAGTAAAAATCCGACTTCG